GAGCCGACGGACTGGAAGGAAAGAGGCAACGGTGACAGGAACGGCCGTCGGAGCCGCTCGCAAGGAGAACGGCTGAAATGCTCCCACGTCCCTCCTCAGACATTGCCTGTAGTGATCAGGCACCGCGAAAGAAAGCTCTTCCCCCTCGCCAGGTCACATAGGGACGTGCGGAGATGGATGGGGCGTGCTGTGGGGGGAGAGAGCAGCTGGAGGGGTTGTGCGCACGGGTACGCACAAGGAGGAACGGCTAGAGGGAACAGATGGATTGGGAAGAAGAGAAGAGGTGTGCAGGAGACACGTGACCCAAACTTTGATTTTGATCCACCACCCTCGTCTCTTTGCTCAAGGCCAGCAGTGCCCAGATCACCCAATGGTCAGACCGAGACTGCGTACAGCAGCGCGTCACACCAGCCTCCGAGACCCAGCTCGCTCCCTAGCGCACGCGTTGCAGCTGCAGAGCAGGAGGTTTTGGGTTGGACCTTTTAGGCAACCATTTGGCAGCTGGTACGGCTGCTCCCCGCAGGGTTATAGCCCTGCTGCATTTACCGCTCTGCCTTCTCAGCTGCAACTGCTGTGCCCTGGCACCAGCCCTGTTGGACTAAACCCCCCATCACACGTCAACTCATTTCAGCATTGAGCTCAGAGGTGCAGAACAGCTTTATATTGCAACTGCCCAGCCCACCAGGAGAGGGAAAAAAACCCAAAACCCCAAACCGAACAAAACACGCACCAAACCCACAGCCTGGAAACGCCACCGGAGCCTGCAGCCATCTGAACAGATGGCGAGCGCCAGGCGGGCTGCCTCCGGCTCGGCTCTGCCACCGCACGAAGGCTGGAGCGCCCCCGAAACCACGCTCGGCTGTGAGAAAACCTGGACTCGATCCAGCTTCTGCCTCGATTAGCCAAACTTACGCCTTTGCAAGACGAAAGCAACCCTGGGTGGGCTCTACCGTCCACCCACAACCCTGTCCCGCTAACGCACTGCCAAATTAACAGCTGGGGGCTAATTGCTGGAAAAGAAAAAAGGCAATACAATTAAGCTTTTAATGAACGCTGAGATGTAACGGGCAGCCTCGCAGCCCCTGTATTCCCGTGCCGGGAAACACGCCTGAACGCCGGGACTCCCCGTCAGCGGGGCCAGCCTGCTCAGGCTGGGATGATCTACAAGGCAAATAGCATGGCAATACAAGGTAGCCTGGAGGGATACGCCGGACTCACCTCCATGCAGTCTCCCAAGACAAACTCATAAATGATGAAGGATATCAGGTTTCCACTTGTCATTTGCCCCGAGATCACCAGGTGTCCCCCGTAGTAGAGGATGCTCACTTGGACCACAAGGAGCGTCAGCTGGAAGCAAGCAAAGACCCAAAGTGTCAGTGAGGACAACTGAACGTACTCGTGCAACAGCCCTAGCAGCGAGCACCGATATTAATGAGGAAAAACAACTCAGATGCAGGGGCCGATTTAAGGAGTTGGACTGGGATCCTTCAACCAAAAGTCCAGTGGAGCAACAGCCGTGGAGAAGAACTAACCTGAAGTAAGAACGTCTAAGGGACTAACATCCTTAAGGGTAATAATCTATACTCATATTATCCACAGCACGCAGTCACCTCATCACTAAAATAAAGCGCGTCTTGTGCAAACGTGACGCATTTTAATCTGGAAAACAGAAACAAACCAAGCGTTAATGTGCAAGGTCCTCCTTGTGCATACAAGCTCCCGAAACACCTCAGCGGCTGCTCGAGATCAGCGTGTGCGTGGGGGGGTTTCCACCTACTCTGACAAGAAGATGGAGCAGCCCTTATATAACAAATAACAGCCCGTGCCGTTATTCAGCCCGGACTGTTGCCTGCTCCCGGTGCGCTCAGAAAAGCGGCGATGCCTTAGTGCCGCATGTGACGTCTGTCCCGCGGGCTGCTGGCAGCGGGGGCTACATGAACGCAGGAGCCCGGGCCAGTCCCTGCTCGACCACCTTTCAGAGCTGGTGGCAAAGGCTGTAAATTCACGCAGGCAGAAATACCGGGAAAAAGTCCCTCCTCTGTTCCCCTGCCAAGATCTGACCTCCAGATCCTGCAGCTCCTCCGAGGAGGACTCTACTAGGGCGGCGCTAAATCCGTCAGCTTCTCTTTGCACAAACCCCACAGGCGCCGGTTCTGACGGTTTGTGACTCCTTTGACTCAGCTGGATCCGCTCTGACCCAGTTCACACTGCTGCCTTCGCTGGAAGCTCAGGAAAAATGTTAGAAAAGCTCTAATTTTGCTTCCAAACTTAGCAACCCACGAGTCTCCCACGGTTGTGCGAGGATGTCCTAAGTCCCAAGCCTTTCAACAGAAGGTACTTAGATCCTTGGAGGCGCAGGGCTAAGGGGAGCCTCGCGTGAAGGCTTTGTGCAGCCTAACCCGCTGCAGGAGTGGTCCCAAACCACCTGCTCTGGAGCGATGAACCAGCACTTTGCAAAGAAACCCAGCAGCCTCCCCGCCGCCACCCCCAGGCGGGCAGCTCCCGAGCAGAATCGCACCAGCTTCCTGGCCGACGCGGCCGGGGAGGAGCCGGCGCGAGCACGCGGCGAGGCGGGCA